TAGTTATGAAAGAAACTAGTATTGGAGTCCCCTTCCTTGATCCACTTAATATTTGCCTTTTGTCTCCAAAACTTCTTCTCTACTTTATACTTTTGGAGTAACAAACTTCTTTTGAAAGACCAGTCAACCCTGTTCCCTTCACTTGGATCCTCCTCAAAGGCCTTTTCTGCTTCCTGAACATCCTTCTCACATTCTTTAATGTTTGCAAAAATATCCCCAAACACATTCTTGTTCCAGTCCTTTAGATCTTTTTTAAGCATTTGAAGTTTAAAACACATACCTCTCATACCTCCAACAGTAGCATAAGATTTCCATTTATTTTCCACAAAATTCATAAAAGAATGATGAGATGTCCACATATTTTGAAATCTAAAGAGCTTAGGACCAGAAAGACAATTATTTTTAATTTGAATCAACATAGGGCAATGATCAGAAGGAGATCTGTTCAGCATATCCACCTGTATATGTTCATAATTATCTATGAATTGTTGATTAAATAAGCACCTATCAATCTTTCTCCATACTCTCCCCCTTGCCCTAACTCCAGTCCAAGTGTAGTGATGGCCAGATTGAGAAAGTTCAGATAGGTTAGAGGCTGCAATACAGTTACAAAACTCATTTATTCCATAAGAGACAGGTAATGTATGGCCTTTGTGATCACTAAAGGCAGCAATTTCATTGAAATCACCCCCACCATCCAGGGTTCTTTCATACTTCTTGAAATATTTACTATTCCTTCCCATAACTCTCTTCTAACAATGTAGGTGTGTCCACCATAGATTGCAGTACACCACCCTTTGAAGATGCTGCTTTGGATTCTAAAATGAACAAACTGAGAGTGCCAGTTCACATCTGAAATGGTAACTTTTGCATTGTCCCAAAAGATCCAAATTTTGGTAAGTGGAGAAACAATAACCTCATTCATCCCCAGAGTTTTCTTAAAATGATCTGCCCTTGCATTGCTAACTATTGGTTCAATCACAACTAAAAAATTTAATCTCCATTGTTTAACTAGGGAACTGAGTCTAGAACTGGAGGATTCTAGACCCCTAGTATCCAAATCAGCCAATTCATTGAGAAACTGGAAGTGGAGGTAAATCTTTTGCTGCACTTCTAGTGAATCTTTTCTGATTATTATCCTGTGCAAAGTTTGTTTTCCTTGAAGCTTTTCTTGCCACTTGTGTAAATCCATCATCATCATCCCCTTGTTGTTTGTTAGATTGAGCCCCCATATGAGTATCTGATGCATCCTGTGATTCAATAACATGTTCAATCTGCATATGTTTGTCACTAGTTGCATTCTGAGTCTTTTCTGTAGCACTAGTATTATCTGTTTCTGAAGTTGCCTGTTGAAACCCTTCTACAATTCCTCCATTACTTATAATAGACAGATTATCTTTATTGGTATCATCCTCTGCAGCTAATCTTTTAGACATTATATCCACCCTATCTTTAATCTCCTCCCAATTGTCTAGAATATTACTGCATCTTTGTGGAAGAACAATGTCATTATCTGTGTAGTGTACCTTTTGAGACAGCTCTTTGTCTTTCCTCAGCTTTTTCCCCAAAACTGTGGTAAACACATCATCCTTGCTAGCAAAAAATTTGGGATCCCTACTTGCCTTCTCAGATATGTGGAATGTCTCCAGTGTTGGGTTACTCACTGGTTCAAGATTATCCGTAGCAGGATTAGAGGCTTGAGGTTCCAAATTGATATAAGATGTAGATGGCTGATCCAGGGCATTTGTAATAGAAACAATATGTTGTGTAATTTTAGCCTTCTCCATGTCAATTGCTTTCCCATTCCCCTTCTTCCCGTCTGTAATAAGTTTTTTTTTCTTTTTGGTAGTTTGCTTTAACAACCCAATTCTCCTTAGCAAAATGGCCTTCAATTGTTATCCCCCCAGCCCTCTTGGGGCACATGGCACCTGAATGCCCCAAATGATAACATTTATTACAATATGAAGGCATGTTCTCATATATCACTGGCTGGACAAAACTGTGAGACCCACACTGAATCCAGACCTTATTAGGCATTTCACCAGTAAGATCTAGTTCAACATATACTCTAGCCATAGATGGCCTCGCCAATGATGCAGTCGCTGCATCAAGTTTGAGAGGCCTACCAATCATCCCTGCTATGTCAAACAATGCCCTTTTATCATGCAAATGAATCGAAAGGTTCTCAAAATTTAACCAAACGGGAACCACCGGAGATTCAACATTAGGTTTGAATTCAGGTGTCCATTTAGTAACGCGCATAGCATTTCCGAAAATATCCCAAACCTGACGGTTCCAACATCTAACATAGTCCTCTTCTAATTCAAATCTGATTAAAATGTGTTTCTTCTCCAGAATTCCCAAATGAAACTTTCCTTTAAATCCAATAAGATCGAACGCCTTACGTAAAGATAACATTGAAGGACGTCCAGCAAAAAAATAACCAACCAAATCTTTAGAATGTTGGGATGCCAGCATTTTAATTTCCTCCTCTGGAAAGGTGATGGAAGGCATCCCTTTGAAACGATCTGGACACTTTTTTGATAAAGGCAGCTCCTTGCCAATACCAGAAACAACGTCCGCAAAAGACCGGCCTCCCCACACCTTGGTAGGTGGAGGAGGAGCAGCCACCCCTTCCGCCGTCGGAGCAGTCATACGTCAATCGCCAGAGCTTCTCTCTCTAGGGTTTTTTCGCTGAAAACTTGACCCGGGACAAATTAACGTGCTGGAACAATGAAACGTGGGAGATTATCTGATCTTGACCGGTACCCGGTCGGGTATGTACCTATACCCGGTCGGGTACCCGGCCAAAGGTGTTGAAAAACACCTATAAATAGCACTTTTTTTCTCCTCTAAAAATCATTCCTTCTTCCAATCTCTTTAGCTCAGTTTAGAATAGCATTTCTTTATATTTTTCTAGCTATGTTTAGTCTCTAAATGAGGAGCTAAACTTCCATTCTTGGTGTTGCTCTTGAAGCTTGTTGATTATTAAAGTTGTGAGTTATTTTCTTAACTTCTTTCCTTGAATATTAATTAATAGTTCTTTCCTTAATATCATCTCTATATTAATGTTGGGGAGTGTTGCTAAGATGACAATTAGTTAACATCTCGACATTAGTTAGAATGGTATTTTCTTCCTCTATATTAATGTTGGGGAGTGTTGCTAAGATGACAATTAGTTAACATCTCGATATTAATTATAGTAGGATTCATCTTCTTTATTAATATTCTTCCTTGAATATTAATTAATTCCTACTCTTATTTCATATTAATATTTTGAACATTACTTAAAGGATCAACTAGTTTTGTTTCATATATTAATTATTACTAGAAACGATCAACGAACCGATGGTTAATCGTTGATGGTTTCACAAGTAAGTAACTTCGGTTTATTAATGCACGGTCGTGGTTAATAAACTTAAGAGGGATTAATTTTGTTGGTTAAACCGAAACCGCTTGTGTTGAGGTTATCAATCTCAATTGATTTCATCAAGGAGTTAGAAAGATTAAATGCTACTATTAAATCGGTATAAGGTGTTGTTCTATATTTGATTAATAGTAAGAGTTATTAATGAACGGTCGTTGTTAATAACTACCCTCGATGAAGTGGATATACTCCCCGATTGAGTATTCGAGAGGGAATAAGTTATAGATATAACCATGATCGACTAAAATATATCAACAAGTGGAAAGTAGCAATGCCAAGTCCTTTTTATCTTTGAATTAAGCACATATAGGTTGTTCATCTTAGTTCTTAATTAAATTAAATCACTCAATTCAAACCCCCCCTTTTATTTACTAAGTATCATAAAAAGAGAATTATTCCTTTCCCTGTGGATACGAACTCTACTACGCTATACTACGTATAAGTGTTAGTATTGAAATTATTTTGACACACCGTGACAAAGTGCTCGTCAGTCGTGACACATATAAGTAATCCAATTTGTATGTTTACTCCATATTACTTATTCTTACTTTATTCAGACGAATTAGACAGAAAGGCAAATCATATTAGACCAAAACATTCAAATCAGATCAGATTCGATCAGACAAATTCAGATCAGACCAAAAAACACTCAGATCAAATCAGAAAGGTTCAGACATAATTTATTAATTTTACTATTATGGTTGTTCTGATCTAATTGAAATATTTTTGTATGCTATTTATGTACTATGTTGCTTCCATTAAAATTAATTATGAATACTATTATTATTATAATCATTGTTTGTATGTTATTGTTGTTCATAAAACATCATATATTACTACTATGGTTATTATCAATTCTAATATTATTATTTAACTATATTATTATTAATGTATTTTTATTGTTATCGGTATTTATAAGTGACTATTATTATAAAAGTGTACATAAATAATTTAATTACTCTGGGGTATATAATAGTAAGATTACATATTATAATGGCATTGATAACACTTATTATGATGATAAATGTAACTATAAAAATAAGGATAACAATAAAAATAAAATGGTTTTATAATTATAGTTGTAATTATAATTATAGTTATAATGATAATTATAATTATAAAGATGATGATAAAAATGACAATGATAATCATAATTATAATTTAATAATATTCCTTCAAAAAAAATTAATAATACAAATAATACTCAATCACATAAAAATATTTAGATCAAATCAGACTTATTTAGATCAAATTAAAATAAAAAAAATTAGATCAAATTTGAAAGATTCAGATGAGATCAGAAAATTTCATATCGTAGGATCATACAAGTTCAGACCAGATCTTAAAAAAAATCAAATCATAAATATTCATATCAGGCGTATTCACCAACTTTTTAATATCAACCATATTAGTGGAATATAATGCTCGGAATATTGGGATATTTTTTGTCAGTACTGTGGTCAGTGGCGGACCCAGAAAGTCGCAGCCACGGGATCCCTACCCTTATATATCTTTGATCTCTAATTAATATAAAACTAATAAAAATATATTAAAGAAGCATAACACTTCAAAATTAACGTACACTATCAAAACATTAAGATATATTGTAAAACAAAAAGTTACATACAAAAGTCATTCAACAATTCTACAGATGTACCCTTCTAGGCTTCATTTGTTGGAAATAATCTAGAGATATTACCCGAAATAGGACTAAAACAGTTTGAAAATTCCAAAATAGGACTGCCATGTTTTTATTCTCAAAATAGGACTAATTATTCCCATGTTTTGGCAGTACCAGACTTCAATATGGAAGTATTTTCTAAACATGGCTGTAATTAGTCATATTTTGGGAATAAAAACATGACAATCCTATTATAGAATTTTGGAACTGTTTTAGTCCTATTTCAGGAACTTTCCCAATAATCTATAATAGAATCATCACTAATAGTACCAAAAACATCTCTCTCAACATATGTAACTAAGCAATCATTCAACCATTGATCGCAGATCTTGTTCCGCAACTCATTCTTCACGAACTTCATACCTGAAAAACGCCCGTTCAACACTTGCTGTAGCTACTGGGAGAAGTAGAGATAACTTAATAAGTGTATACACATGCTGATATGTGAGATGCTTCTTTGTGCACACCATTGCAATCGAAAGGTCTACTAAACCATTCAAATCAGAAAATCTATTATCAGAACGGACATCTAAAATATAATTCTCAAGCTGATTCTCAAGTATCTTTTTATCAACATCAGAAAACTCTTTTGGATAAAATTCTGCCAATTTAAGCAAAGGTGCCCTATCAAAAGCTTCAAACGAGGAGGAAGGACATAAACAAGACACACAATGCAATAACGCAGTGCTTGCCACATCAAACCTCCCTATCAAGCTTAGCCACAAACAAATTAACAATCTCATGTAAACAATCATACTTGTAATGATGCATGTTGGTTATACTCGGTGCCCTGCGTTTCGATCTTTTTCCTTTGATGTACTTCTGATCCATAGAAGGCACATCTATATGAAATTTGTTACAAAAAGTAACAACCTCATCAAACAAAGCACCCCATCCAATATCTGTTTTCATTGCCGCTAAACGTTGTTTGACAATTGTGACTAGTTTCAAAGCATTCACAAGATCTTGTTCACGTCTTTGCAATATCTGTGAAAGATCATGTGTAATGGCCAAAACATTGATCATTAAATGAAGCATGAAACAAAATTCAAAATTTTGCAATTCATTCAACAATGAAGTGGCTTCACCACTTTTATCATGGTCTTCCAAATCTTCGAGTACCTCAATCCCAAATTTAAATAATTTTTGCAAATTAAGCAATGATTTGTAATGAGAACTCCATCGTGTATCACCTGCTCTGACAAGTTCTAACTGTTGATTCAATCCTCTTCCTGTTTTTACTAGTCCAGCTTCTAAAGCACTTATCAAATCACTTGCTTGTTTATCACGAAGGCATTCTTGTCGCTTATTTGATGAGCAGATCTTATTAATTACGCGACTAACATGAAGAAGTAACCAATTAACTTCATGTTGTCCTTTAACAGCAGCAACAAGTGACAATTGCAATTGATGAGCTAAACAATGGACATAATATGCTTAGGGATTTTCATTTTGAATTAGAGTTTTCAATCCACCAAACTTACCCCGCATATTACTCGCTCCGTTATAGCCTTGTCCTCTTATGTTTGAGATGCACATACCATATTGTGCTAGAATTAATGTTCTCAAGAGATTCTTTAAGAGATGATGTAACTGTGTCTTTTACATGAACAAGACCAATAAATCTCTCAAAAACATAAACATTACTAGCAACAAAATGCACAACAATAGACATTTTCTCTTTACCAGAAACATCCCCTGATTCATCAACTAATATAGCAAAAACATCATCTCTCATTTGCTTAATAATTTCATGAACAGTTAGAAATGCACAAGCATAACACAAGTCCTTTTGAATTTTGGGTGAAGTCATCTGATTGTTTTGTGGAGAATTTTTTAGAACTCTATCTATCTCAGAATCATATTGTCTCAAAAGATCTAAAGTCTCAAGAAAATGACCTTTATAACTAGACTCTATTGATTCGTCATGACCCCGAAATGGCAAACCCGCACAAAGAAGAAATCTAGTGCACTCAAGTGATGCCTTCAAGCGAATAAGTTAATAAGACTTCGCTTGTTCAAATTCTTTCACAAAACATGCTCCCATACATTGTTTTTGGTTCATCAAATCTTCTGATCTTTTCACCGCATTGTAATGAGGTCTGTTAGGTTTACCAACATGTAAATAAAACCTATCTTTTTTATTTCATGCTGAAAACCCAATTCCCAAGAAATGATCACCACCAACTTCCCACTCATTCTTAAACAAATAACATGCCAAACAAAATGCAACATCTTTGGCAATATTGTATTCCAATCATTTATGCTCATCAAACCAACTTGAAACAAATCTACGTTTTTTGCCCCCAATTAACTTAAAAGGGAAATCATGGTCCCGAGGTTGAAACGGTCCTTTTTGAATATAACTACGACGTACCTCGTCTTGAACATTAGAGTGAAAATCAGCAATTCTTTTTCTCAATCCAGGATCAGCTTCCAAAGATTCAAAATCCTCATGTTGTTCAGGTAGATTATAAGCCAAATTAGCTTCACTTTCAGCAATTACTTGATCCAATTCTTCATTTACTAATGGCGGATCATTTGAATTAACGCCCGAACTACTCCCGGTACTTTGAGTTTCTTTAAATTTGGGTACACCATCAAAATATCTTTTCATCCTAAATCTTATAAAATTGAAAATAACATTTACAAATACATGAATTTATTAATTTAATCTAACATTAAAAAAAGATATGCAAAATAAAGCAATTAAAAGAACGACGAAGTTTTGGTATATTTATATTTAATTTAAACATAGAAATTGAAAACCCTAAGTTTTGAGCATAAAGAAAATCGCACCAAAAAGCTTGAGAAACTCCATTAATGGAGAAAAGAAGAGAAGAGTACCTTGGTGGCTTGGCCGCTTGGTTGATGATGAAAAGGGAGAGACAGAGACCGAGAGTGCAGAGAACCAGAGAGGGGTGTTCGCCGTTCGGTGTTCCGTGTTCACCAATCGCCGCCGTCGGTGCTCGGTGGTCGTCGCCTAGTCGAGTCGTCGGTCAGCCGCCAGCTGGTGGTCGTCGTCTCGTCGCCTCATCAGCACTGCGGCGGTCAACCGGTGGTCCTCCGCTCGTCGTGCAGTCCGCAGTCGTCGCGCGCAGTTGGGGCCTTGGGGGAATCGCACTCCCGCGTGAAAGGAAAAGAGGGTTGGATCTTTTGTTTTGTTTTGGGCCTATGTTCCAAACAAAACATGGGCTGGGCCGTGCCTTCCGTTAAAGACAAAATAAAATGCCGAAAAAAAATTCAACGGGATTCGAACATAGAACCTTCTGAAACATAAACACTTTGCATCCGCACCTGCTCCTGTTCCGCTACTCCATTCTTGTTGTTCTAAAGTGGCTTTGCGTGTAAATATACATTGAACAATTAATTTTAAATAATATATATAATATATAGGTTTTTTTCGGAGGTGCGCGGGGTCCCGGGACCCCTTTGGACCCTTAGTGTGTCCGCCACTGACTGTGGTGTTGAGCACTCAGCTAGTGAGTGTTCTGCAGGGCAATCCTTTACTTTTGGTCACAATAGACATGTCACTCGTTGAGTGGTTAGCGAATTATTATACTTTTAACACATATAATTCTATCTTCTTCCCTAAAAAACAATGATTAATTAAACTTAAAATGTCAATAATGGGCTAAGTGAAAGGGAGGGAGGTAAGAAAAAGGGGTTATTCCTTCAATATTACTAAATTACATGTGATTTCCTAAAATGTGACCACTTTTACATTTGGACACAAATGTGACTAAAGCAGTCATATTCATGTCATTACCACATTTTGATGTCATTGATCAAATTTAATGTCACTATCGAATATAACTGTCACCACCACCGGTGTCACTGTGACCACCGCCCGTGTCACTGTGGCCACCACCTGTGGCCACTGCCCTGACCAGTGACTGCCGCCCCGCCCCCGACCGGTGACTCCCGCCACCCTTGACGGGTGACAACCCTAGCCGCCCCAGCCTTGCCCCTTGAACCAGTCATTGCCCACTTGCCGAGCACCTGTCACTGCCCATTATATTCACGCCGCCGCCGCCGCCACAGTGATCCAGCAGGCAACAGCAACCTAGCAACGCCGCCGACCATCATCGCGCCGCCACTGCCCTTGCCCCCGGCTTGACTCCCCTCCCCCCTGTCACCTCACCAACCCCCTCCGATCCCCCATCGCGCCAACTCCAGTAACCGCCGTAACATTCCGGCCGCCACCATACAACCTATGTGGCTCACCGCCGCCGTTGATAGCTCGAAGCTTACCCTCCTTGGCCCCCAAACTTCCCTCTCCAACTTGTACCCCTCTCCCAAGTCCCTACGTACCTTCCCTCGGCCCAAATCTCGTTCCAAGCCATCGCAATACCCTTAACCCCAACCCTAGCCGCTTTCATCTGGATCTGAATCACCCTCCAGTGATGTTGCACACCGTCGGAGCGCCGCACGACATCTGGATCTGGATCTGGCAGAGATGATCCGTCTGGCGTCTGCTATAGCCGTCGCGGAGAGGACGACGAAGAGCAAGGCGGCGGAGATCCATTTGCTCTGTATGCGGAGGAGATCCATGCATTTGCGTCGATGTGTTGCTCTGTCCTCCGGAGTTCCATGGCTTTGAGCGTACCAAGAAAGAAAGCGGAAGGTTGAGCGCAGGAAGAAAAAAAAAGTACGAGAAGGTTAGCGGGACGGAAGAGGCAATGGGCCGGGTCACTTTTATAGCATTTCAAAAAATGGTCATATTTTTGTCCAAAAGAAAGTTGAGGAGTCATATTGATGCCACTCTTTCTAAGAAAAATGCGTGATAGAATTGTCTATAGACAGACAACTAGTCTGCCGGGGGATAGACGAATGTATCCCAACCAAACTCGGGTAATATAACGGCAGCTACAGACACAAACACATGGCCTCAACGGAAATACAAAACTATGCCCAGACTACTTTCGGGTCCCAAGTTACAGCCCCATCGAATCCGCATAATTTTGCATTCAACTGCGTCATTAGAGCAATCTTTCACGAAAGATGCTTTATTTTTTTTATTTTTCCCATGTGGATCTCTTCTGACTGGTAACAAACAAACCATTTGGCCAAATGGACTGACCTATCCATCGCCATAGCCTTCCTTTTCAATTCTTCTCTCGTCCAAGAAACCATCCGGAAGCATTTGACCCTTTGACCTCGAAACTCTCTGTTCATTCTTTAGTCTGGTTTGGAAAATTAATCTGGGAATTGGGATGGTAAGATTTAAAGAAGCACCGATATGTGCTTTTGTTTTTATACTATCAATCGCTTCTTCTGCTCAGCTTGATGGATTCTTCTACACCAGATTCAATAAGCCAGAGAACAACATCAGTTTTAGTGGGGTGGCGACGGTCGCCGGAGATGGAGTTCTTCAGCTGACGAATCAGTCCCACCGGACAAAGGGTCACGCTTTCTATTCCGCTCCCTTCAAATTCAAGAATTCCCCCAACGGCTCGGCTTTCTCCTTCTCCACCTGTTTCGCCATAGCCGTGATCCCTGAATATGAGAAGCTCGGCGGCCATGGCCTCGCCTTCGCCATTTCCCAGTCTCTGGATTTCAGCACGGCTCTTCCCAGCCAGTATCTTGGCCTGCTCAACTCCCACAACATTGGGAATTCGTCGAACCATCTTTTCGCTGTTGAGTTCGACACAGTCCAGGATTACGAGTTTGACGACATTGATGGTAACCATGTCGGGATTAACGTTAACAGCTTGGTTTCCAATAAGTCCGCCGGAGCTGCGTATTTCACCGGTGATTTTAAGAAACGATATCTGAATCTCACCTGTGGAAAGGTGATTCTTGCTTGGGTGGAATACGATTCTGGTTCAAATCTCATTAATGTCACCATTTCCCCTTCTTCTTTGAAACCCAGAATTCCCCTTCTGTCACACCGCTTAGATCTATCTGGTGTTCTGAAAGAGAATATGTACGTCGGCTTCTCTTCCTCCACCGGGCTCCTCGCCGGAGCTCATTACATATTAGGGTGGAGCTTTAAAATCAACGGCGAAGCCAAAAGCATCAATCTTCATTCTCTCCCATCGATCCCCGGAGTCAAGAAAAGGCACGTGGCTCTCGTTGCTTCGGCCTCTGCGTCGGCGGCGGTTTTAGCCTTACTTTCCGTTCTGGTGGGAGTTTATGTGTTCAAGAAAGTCAAGAATGCTGACGTGGTGGAGTCGTGGGAGCTTGAGATTGGTCCGCACAGATATTCCTATGGTGAACTCAAGAAAGCCACAGGCGGTTTCAAGAACAGCGAATTACTCGGGCAGGGCGGATTCGGTCAGGTATGATTCCACTTTGCTCATTCACCTCTTTCTAAAAAGTCTATTATTGAAGAACAAAAATAAATAATTACATATTTGTCCCTAAACTAAACTAAATGTTGTTTGAAAAAATAAGAACTCTCAAGATAACAATCACACTAAATTTATGATAACTTAAAAGAAACTATACTCCTAGTAACTTTGGGCCAAATGCATAAGTAGTACCTTAATTACTAATATTGTTACATTTTAGTAAATTACTAATATTGTTACATTTTAGTACTTTAATGTTGATTGAAATAAATGAGTACCATTACTATGATTAGATGTTTCAATTAGCATTACTATTCAAATTTACAAAAAAATCATATGTAGCCATCAAAATTCTATTCACATAATCGAGTGTACTATGTACATTACTTTTATCACGGCTACCAATGTACGGTAGACTATACCTATGAAATATCAGCGGTCACGTAGGATATTTTGGCCTGAAATTTGAATTGTATTGATGTTTGAAACATTTATGTATACGTATGATATTGATTGTTTCATTTAAGAGGTAGTGTACCAAAATGCAAAAATACCAAAAGTTAAGATCCTGATGATTTTAGTCATATTTTGGTAAATAAATTTATAATTAGTAATATTTTTGAAAAAACTAGAAAAAATTGCTCCGAAGTCCCAACCATTAGATATTAATGAAAGTAAAACACCAATAAATTTATTGCTAAGTTATTCTCAAAATCATTTACGAGTATATTTTTGTATTTGTATGTATAATGTATTGCAATATTCTCCGCACTTGGTAAAAAAACAATGACAGAGTTCTAAGATTATGGCCGTCGAAAATAATGTGACCATAAATGTCAATAATTGACTAATGTCGTAACTCTAATGATGATTGTAGTGCCATTGACCAATCTAAACAAATTTCAAACTTCTCATAACATTAATTGTATTTCATTTTACTATTCATCTTCTAAAGGAAATTTAAGCATAAGAAAGTAACTTGTTGAGCATTTTACTATCACTAGCATTTTCAGTGATCCAAGATTCCAAACATAGTGTTAGAGAATGCAGATGCATCTTGCACATGTTATATCTAAATAATAAAACTTTTTCAAACACAAAACTAGCTTTTATCAAGAAAATTACAAAATAGTGGTATGTAAGTTACCCCCATATATATAGTAGTATATGATACGGAGTATAAACTATGGGGTTGTTATGTTTAACAGGTCTACAAGGGGATTTTGTATGTTTCCAAAACTGAAATCGCAGTGAAAAGAATCTCGAATGAATCCCGACAGGGGCTACGGGAATTTGTGTCCGAAATCTCAACAATTGGGAGGCTAAGACATAGGAATCTGGTACAGTTACTAGGATGGTGCAGAACCCGTTGTGATCTAATGCTCGTCTACGATTACATGCCGAACGGAAGCTTGGATGGTTTCCTATTTGACCGTCCCAAGTCAGTGTTAACATGGGAACAAAGGTTCAACATTATCAAAGGCGTCGCCTCGGGACTGTTATACTTACACGAGGAATATGAACAAGTTGTGATACACCGTGACATCAAGGCTAGTAATGTGCTGTTGGACGGGGAGATGAATGGACGTTTAGGGGATTTCGGGCTCGCTAGGTTACACGAGCACGGGAGCAATCCGGGGATGACTCGGGTTGTGGGGACATTGGGCTACTTGGCACCAGAGCTTTCGAGGACAGGTATAGCAACGACAAAATCAGACGTGTTCGCATTTGGGGCGTTGTTGTTGGAAGTGGTTTGTGGAAGGAGGCCAATAGAGTTGAAGGCCGCTCGGATACGGGAGTTGGTTTTGGTAGATTTGGTATGGGAGAAGTTGAAAGAAGAGAGGATTATCGACGTGGTGGATTGGAGGATGAAGGGGAAGTTTAAGGAGGATCAAGTGGTGATGGTGTTGAAGTTGGGGCTCATTTGCTCAAGCAATGACCCGACCGCCCGACCAAGCATAAGGCAGGCATTGAGTTACCTCGACGGAGAAGCCCGATTGCCCGAGGTTATGATGGAGCCGGATCATCAACACAACGAGAATAATAACAATGACAGAAATGATGGGGGAGTTGGGATTCAAGAGCATTGTGAGCTTACTTCCTCACAGATTGGTACTATTTTTGCTTCCTCATCATCTGCTTCACCTCATTCCCCTTACTAGAATAGTAGGGGGTAAAAGAGTCTGTTTGCCATCGTCCATAGTCAGAGGTGAATCTATCATGTTAATCCATTTAAAAGGTTACTTAATTTGTATTGTTTTTAATTCATCTTACACATAAAGAAACACCTTAAATTAAAATTGGATAGGCTTATGGAATAACAAGCGATTCAAGTTAAGGTAGTAGATAGCTTCTTAATCTTTATTCCCTTTTTTCTGGGTATAATGCTCAAGAGTTTGTTCCATGTCCATGTATGCTAAAATATGAAGCAAAGAACTAGGAGTACTACTTCTCCTACCAGGTTTTGTTTATAAGATGGAACCCAAGCATAAATATTGTTATGCTTGTTAATAAAATGTAAAATGCTCCAATTGTCAAAACTTATCCAACTCTTTTTTTTTATCATCTCTATTTAAGAGAAGTAACTCTGAGAATGGACTAGTTGCTGCTTGTGTAGTTGAGTATATAAGGATGGGAGCATATATTACTTTTAATACTTTTATTTATGTCCTCAGTATTAATTGTGGTGCCTGCAGTTCCATACTTGTTTCTGGCTAGCAAAACTTGATGGGCATTATTTCTCATTTAGAGTCCCTATAAAGACACAGATAGGTTTGGAAGCATATATGGTTCATACTTGAATTGGGAGTTCCATAAATGATTCAAAGCAAATGGGCAAGTGCAGGGATAATAACACAGTGAAACAATGTTGGATTATAATACAGCAAATGCTCAAAATATGCTGGGCGCCTGGGCTGACAAACTACAGGTTCATTTGGGTCTTTAGAAAAGGGCCTCACTAAGTATGGGGCTAAAGATGTTTTCTATTGTACCGTTTTCAATCCCAGACTTGTTCATATTAACTCAGATAAGACCAGACTTAAATAAACAAGACTACACAAGACTAGACCTATATGTTAGTTTTTAACTGCGAAGTATATATGTTATTTGATACTTCAAAAAATATAAAAAATAGATAAAAAATGAAATTGAGAACATGATTAAATTGTTAGTTTTTAAGTTTATGTGTTTTTATTAATCATCTTGTTTTTATAAATCAATTTTCATTGAAAGTTAAGGTTTTCAAGTATTTCTAATTTTCATGGGTTGAATGAAATCTCGGAGCAAAAAATCCAACGTAGTATTTGTTTTTTCTTTAGTATTATCTTGCTTTAGAAAACTAGATTTTAGTATGGGAAATTTCCAAAATATAAGTAAAAATGTTTGGTAATTTCTCGAAATAAGAGTAATTACTATTAAAATAGTCACAATACTAAACATTAATATGACAATATTTAATGTCACTAATAACAATATTTTCAATCATTGCTCCAAGGGAAATTATCAATGAACCCCTTTGAGGTTTGATGTATTATTAGTCACACCCCTGCACTATCTAATATGTACTCTTACCCCCTTTCTATCCTTTAATAATCATAGAGTAGCTTTTAATTTCCATTAAGAAAAAAATATAGATATAGTTTCATAACTTTTGATTGTGTCTTTTTTTCTTTAAAAAAACTTTTGATTGTGTCCGCTTTCAATCCTATAATTTTATTCAATCACAGATCTGATCAGATAATTAATAATTTGCTCATATTAAAGATCTTTTTACCGAAAATCATACCTAATAAAAAATGATCAAAACTGACCTCAATGTAATAGTTTGTTTTATGTCTTTGGATTTGAAAATAACCGAATTGAAAAAAACCAACCAAGACATGCTAAAGTTGACCAAAATTGAAACAAACCAACCGAAATTAACCCAAACTATGGACAAATTCTCGATCTCCAGATCGGCCAGTTTTTAAATCGAGATTGGACTTGTGGGAAGAGGACATGGACCTTAGCTCACCTTTTGCGGAAGACTTAATAAGGAAAGAGATGTAACCTTGACATCCGATCATCTCTTAATAGAATGTACAAGCTAATTCAACAACAATACAACCACTCTAGAAGTTCATAAATAAAATCTTTAATGAAATCAACGCTTGATTAAGACATCTCTAAAGTCGCTCTCAAGGTAATCAATCATCATAAACTTCATAATCATCACTTGTTCAAATAATGGAGAGAGGGAGAAACACCACAAAGAATAAAAATTAGTGAAAACTAAGTAAGTACTATCTAATCCCGTAAAATAATATAATTTGTCAAAAAAGATCTTTGTACTATAATATAGTTTCAATATTTCATTTACTTCTCAAAAGTTATTTTTTCATATAAGAACATCATTTATCAACCACAATAACTTTATAATCTAAAAGTACTTTTATAGTTGAAAAATAATACTTATAAGTTTTAAACAATTCATATCTCCAAAAAAGTTATCACTTTCAAATCATCACTTTCCAAAAATAGCTTTTGTATCTCAAATATCACCTCCCAAAAATATCATCTTCCCAAAATCAATGTCACTCCTAAATTCTTTTAAGATGGGCGAAGCTCAAGATTTCTTGAGCCCAATGAGCCGTTGTTATGTACGATTCATCCCAGAATTTCGGCTCCCATCGACCACCAATCGGAAACCGAACTTCACCCTTAAGTGTGCATACTCTTCTTCAAGAGATTCCAAACCCTCTCAGTAGTAAGAAGTTCAAGTAGTTCGGTCTAGCACCCCCTACCTCACAATGGGTTAGATACCTGAGTAATTAGAAACTACTACCGTAGCCACCACAAAGGACTTTTAAAGTCCTCAAAAGAAATACCGGGATTGCACCCGCCACCAAAATTTATCGGGATTTCTCCCACCACCAAAATTTACTGAAACCTAACTAATCCCGCGGTTTATAGCTTTAACTGCCCATACCTTTTCTCTCGAGATGTCAAAAATCATTATGCAAAATCAATCGTTCTTGGAAAATCATTTATCTCTACAACCATCCAAAATATCTACTCCGTATTTAATAGATACGCCCACCAAAAATTCATATACTCCAAAGGTATTTTCAAACTCACCAAAATAGTCTCGAGGGTATTTAAAAATATTTAATACCCAAATATACATAATTTGTATGATGGATAGTCTACCCGGGGGTATATATCCGAAGGGTTATTGCGGGGAACAACTTAGAGAGAAGTGAGAGCAAGTAAATGAATGTAGAGAGAGTGTATTCAGTATGAATGTCGTGGTTACAAATGTGGAAATGGGGTGCTATTTATAGTAGCAATAAATGCCGGACAGGGACACGTGTCAAGCGCTCATTGGCCGAGGGGTCACCTCAACTGGTTGGCGCTGGCAGCCGCATGTGGCCGCATTTAATGCGGCTGTTGGATGGGACGTCTGTGCAGGGTACGGTGATCTGTACGCATGTGAGGCGGATATCTTGTCGAGTGAGATGCCTTCGGCTATAGAGCAGTAGCCGAGGGCTCCTTCAACCGACGGCACCCTAGCGCCGAGGGCTCACAGTGCCGAGGGCTACTGTTTTCGCCGTTTTCTCCCAGTTTCTTAATTTGCTTGAGAAACCCGTTCTGTGAGAGTTTAGAGCCTTCGGCCAGGGGGCCGAAGGCACCCCTGGGGCGTAGTGCGGGCTTCTTGGTACCCTGGGCGCTGTGATTTGGGCCTGGTGGGCCTCCTGGGCCTGTTGGGCCTTCATTGGTGCAGTAGGAGTCTGTGGGCCGGGTGTTCCCGGGCCATATACTCCATCAGGAGTCCCTCACTCCTTTTGCCGAAAGGTACTTGAGGGAAAAGGAGTAATTTGTGCTTTCCCTTTGACGTTGTCCTGTCGTAACCTCTGAAGTTGGTGAGGAGTTGTTGCTTTTATGTCCCTGCCGAAGGCAGTCCCTCAGTTACCCACATGTCGGGACTTGAGGGCTTGCTTTGTCGTTTGTTGGAATTTCACTAATCTTGTAATTTAAATGATTTTCCTGAGGGGGTCCTCCAGTCCCCCACTCCTTGAGGCACTTGTAAAGTGGTGAAAAGGAGTAGAGTAATTGCGTTGCTGTTGTGGGCCGAAGGCTGACGCTTTTCGTTTCATTTTGGGGGGATGCCTCGTTAAAAACCTCATTAGAAAAAACCCTGTGGGAAAAAATCCTAATGAGGGAAAAAGAGTGCACCGGATTCCCCCAATGATGAATCGAAAATGTCAAACCTTGGAAAAAGAGTGCACCGGATTCCCCCAATGAGGGTTCATGTGTTGATCAGCCGAAGGCATGCTGTTAGTGTCCTGGGGGTGCCGAAGGGAGCCCCCTCAATCTGGGGATCGAGGGCTTGATGGATGAGGGCAGTAGTGGAGTTGTTTACCGGGGGGTCCGCTGTTTGTTGATTAGTTGGTGATGAAGATACCCGAGGGCTCCCCATTACCTGTGTGCGATGGGTTATCCGTCAATGAAGGCAACTCCCCGGGGGCTACCCGGTTCTGCAGTGCTGAGGGGGAATTACCGAGGGATACCTTGCTATGGAGTCTTGGGTTTCTGAAGGAGTGATCCTGAAGGCGTTTGTTATGTGCTGTGTGGGGCACAACCCGGGGGCATCTCTGGGTAAGTGTACCCGGAGGCTCTCCTTGATATAGCGGAGTGAAGTAGAAAAACCCGGGGGCTTCCGAAATATAGCCGTTGGAAATATAGCCGTTGGAATATGTAACGTCAGGATATAGCCGTTGGGGGGGACACGTGGCGCGTGATGGCTGGCTGTCCGTGGGCGGCATCACTGGTTGGGCGAAGATGCGGCGTGTAATGATGGCGGTCCATCCGGAGGCCCGGAATCTAGGCCCAAGCACGGATTCCATCGCCTATAAATACCCCAAGGCCAGAGCCCTTTCTTCTTGTGCGATCATCTGTCTTAGCGAAGCTCTGCCGAAAATTCTAGAGAGAGAAAGTCAAGCCTTCGGTAAACACTCAGCTTTCAAGGTCAGTTCCCCCCTGCCTTTCTCCTTCTAGTTTAGCTGTGCCCTGTGCCCCTAGGCTAGGAGATAGAATTTTCTAGGAAACCTTAGTTTTCCCGAGCCTTCGAATTAGTGAGCAGATGTCATCACAGAGCGACTCCTAGGATATCTCGTGCGAGCCTTCGGTAGAGATGGAGACATGCTCAGATGTGGAGTCTTCGAGTGTGGAGTCCTCGGCGGGTGGTGATGCCGCAGTGGCCATGGAAGTGGAGAAGGACCTCCAGGCCGAAGTCGAAGCCGAGGGCTTCGAACAAGAAAACGAGGATGAAGAGCTTGCCTTGCCGTGCAAACCGCCGAGCAAGAAGAGGAGAGAGAGAGACTGAAGGTGACGGTTGCCATTCCTCCCCCCGGGGTGCGGGGGAAGCCAGCTCCACCCGGCCATTGGATCCGACGCCCATAAGTGTGGCTCCTGGGAAGAAAAACAAGATGAAGGAGGCCCCGAGGAAGAAGCAAGCGACAGTTGATGCTGGGCGACCGGTTGGCATACCCGAGGGCCATTCATTCTTGAATACTGCCGCCCTAGAGCTGAAGACGAAGGCGTCCCCGGCAGAATACCAGTCCACCCAGATGCTGGTTGGCCCTTCGGCGCGCGTGGTGGAGCCCAGAGCGGATGATTTGCTGCGATATGCGCCTGAGGGGTGTTTTGCTGCTCACATCCTCTCGGTGGAGATGGGGCTTCGGTTCCCGCTCCATCCTTTTCTCTTGGAGTATCTGAGATTTGTGGGGTTGGCCCCTTGCCAGCTAACGCCCAACAGCCACTCCTATGTGGCCGGCTTCCTCTCCTTGTTTCAGAGCCGGGGGGTCGAGCCCACACTTGATCAATTCTTCATGTCCTTCAACCTCTGCCGGGGGGGACATTCAAATGCTGAGGGCTTTGCCAACCTTCAGCAGGTACCGGAGTTCCGGCTTTTTGATGATGTGCCCTCGTCTCACAAGGGGTGGAAGGAGAGGTTCTGCTACATCCGCCTCGAGGAGAACCCCTTCCCGACCCAACTCCGTAATAGCTTCCGGCGCCATCCGAAGGTGGGGAGCGCAGCTTTGGAGAAGAACGGCAAAGTGCTTGCCAAGAAGCCGAAGGGGTCTGACAAGCACGTCAAGAT